CGTCGGCTTGTTCCGGTCAGACACTTTAACTCAGAGTTATGGCCCTTGATTAGTTATGCAGTATGCATATGGAGTAAAAATCGTTTCCGCGCTACTTCTCTGCAACTACTGGCTTTAATTCAACGAAACTTTATGGGAACCTTCAATACCAAGAGGAGATGCGCATATCGTCAGCTTGTTCCGGTCAGACACTTTAACTCAGAGTTGTGGCCCTTGAATAGTTATGCAGTATCCATATAGAAAAATATTTGTTCCTGGCTACTTCTGTGCTACTACTGGCTGGAATTCAATGAAACTTTATGGGATACTAAGAGGAAATGTGCATATAGTTGCCTTGTTCCGGTCAGATACTTATAACTCAGATTTATGGCCCTTGATTAGTTATGTAGTATGCATACATCTCATTGGCATTTCCAGATTTTACTATTTAACACAAAGTTATGGCTCTGTTATTGCCCTGAATATTTATCAAGTTCAAAGAATATTACTGTTTATGCCATGATTAATATATAAATAAAGCCTTATGTCTTCAGTTGTTGTGTTAATAATAACCAGTACTCGGCGGGGGATATAAATTCAACGAATTTGCTTGTTATGCCACAGTAGTGGACATATTTCTAGTTTCATCTGAGATATAAATATAAGAATATAGTTATAATGAATTGGAAATGAAGCGATTTAAAGGTTAAGAGTGCATTAGTAGTGTTTTTGTACTGTCACATTATTTTGCCTGATTGATAGAAAATTTTTAGGAAGACAGTGATCCTGTGCTTAACAAGTTCATATTGATATACAAATATATGGGAACATTTATTAACCATATTAAGGAGAAAACTGAATTAGGATTAAGGAAATATTTTAATCAATTCAGATGCACATTTGCAACATAGAATCTTATATATCGTATTGAAAGAAAAGCTGATACTTGCTTCTTGTATTACAAGTATAGACTTCTATAGAAAATGATACAAAAAGTTGATATTTCAGACATATTAATTATTGAGTTGTATGACATAGGTAATTGAATGCCAAAGTCGTAAATACCTTTAAATGAGCTGTTGAAATGTTATGAATGGACCAGGGTATGCTCCACTGATCTTAGTCAATTAAGATACGCTAGTGGAAATAAACCTGTTTAACTTGCAAAGTATGATTTGAACACACAGGGTTAATAATTATTTTATTTATTTTATAGGAAAATTGACAACTTGCTTTAAAAGTTAAAAGATGTAAATTATGAAAATATTTCTTTGTAACATAAATATATGGCATTTCTTTATTTTTTATTGTCAAAGCTTTTACATTATATATTATATACCTTTACATAATACTTCTGTTTTTGTTTGATTTTGTCAGAGTATAAGAGATAACTATTTCAGATATAAATTGTGCCCAGCCAAAGGTTCATTAGTCAGTAAAAATAGTGGTATATAAAAGAAGGGTCCGGAAGTCGGTATTATAGTTGTTGGGCTATTAATGTTATAACTGTCAGTTGTCAACTTCAAAACAGTATCAATTTATGCCAAATAGATTTACCTGCATTCTGGGAAATAAATTCATTTCCAACCTATTAATTTATGCTTTTAAAGAACAATTGAACATTGTCATTAAAAATTATGCTTCAGAAATGCTCCTAGTTTCATTTCTCTAAATACCTTGTTACAGTTTTCAATGTAATACACTTTTGTCATTTACATGACTGTACTTGAACTCATGATCTTTTGCAACTGTAGCTCATGCAGTCAAAAAATATACTTCACATCAAGTTTTTTCTTCCCTTTTCAATGCAAAAATACCATGTCTGTTTTTTCCGCAAATTCAAGGGATTGCATAGTGTCCCCTACCTGTGATGAAAATAGAATTGCTGCAGTAAAAAAAGGTTGACAGCACTGAGCAGTCAATCTTAGATATTGCTGTAGTTTCAAGATAGGTCACTTCTACATTAAATGTGTAAATACACTTTTGCTCTGTATTTACTGTGAATATATTTCCATATAGAGAATGGTTTAACAATGTTGTAAATTGATGCTGTGAGTCCTGTGATATTGGAAGTCTATGCATCTCTTAGCTCCAGCAGGTGAGGTGATTTTGACCCCTGGTGTTGCTTTGAAATTCGTAACCCCTAAGGTTTAAGCCAAAATCATCTTTCCTGTTTCAGCCCCATTATGATCTTTTCTGTGTTGGTGCACTTAAAACCCAACAGACAAACAAAACTGTGACATTAAGGCGTGATAGTAATGTTGGGAGGTTGAGGTTGAATTACCAGTACTGTAGTTATAATTAAATGGCTAATGATACTGTTTGACTGTTGATAAGTAATGTGACTTGTTTATGCTGGTCTGGGTACTTTAGTTTGACGTTTATGTTACGAAATATTATGTCAAATGCAAATCTTGATATTTCATATATTAGTACCATACTTCAATACCATTGTAAATTCATCAATTTTTTTATCATTATTAATTTCTCTTTCAGGTTGAGGTACAAAAATATCAAATTTATCACAAAATTTTGTCAAAAATTCTCTCATTTTTGAATGAATTATGATTTTAATTATATGGAGTAGAAATTCATAGGGAAATAGACTGCATCTTTATGACAAACTGTTGTATTTGATCTAAGTATTTATTGATTTATTAGTTCACAAACTTTGCTCCATGTCTGTATAGATATGGAATGGATTTTATTTCCCTTTACAGAAGATTCTGCAATTGACATAGTGTTTTGTTGCCAAGTTTGATATTTTTGTACATTTTTCATTGTTATAGCTGTTGATTGAATATAAAATATTAACATGTGTATTTCTTTTTTGCTATATGCTTCAATGTTATTTTAATATATGAATTAATATAACAGTGTAGCTATAAGTAAACAAAGCTCTGTTTTGTTAAAAATAATTTATGATACTAATTCATGGTCACACTTGACTCTAGTACAGTCATGTATTGTCACAGTTTTTATGCCTCAACAAGGCAATTCCCAAATTTAATTAAAGGACAATAAATTATTGAAAATCTATTTTTTTAAGTGTTTTTTTTTTTTTTCTTTCGATTTTGCCAAAAATATAAGTTTAAGTGGAGAGATTAGAATATATCAACCCTGGTTCAGAGTCAAAAAACAAATTAGATGAACATTGTTGATACATGTCATTAAAGAGACAACTACTGAAGTATGGGTCTTGTCAAATTAGTTTACACAGAGCCCTGACAGTGTTTGAACCCTTATGGCTAAGGATCCTTGGATCTCTTGTCTAATGCATTAACCATTATTGTAGGAAACATTTATGGCAAGAGCTTTCGTTATTATATACAGTGTAAATACATAGGTTTGAAGTAAAAATATCATCCCGAGGAAAGTACTGTATTGGCCTATGGAAAATTAACATTACTTAAAATTTTAAAATAGTGAATAAATGTCAAAGGAATAAACAAAATTTTTTGATTTTTTACAGATTAAGATATTATTGTCCTATCCATTTGATTAAGCTTAAATAATAAAGTCTGTAGATTAAGGGGGGATTTGGTATAGCATAAAGTCATACTAGGTCAACACAGCCCTAATACATTGTTACATGTACTTATAAATTTTGTATTAAAAAATTATTTATGACATTTCTTAATCTGGAGATTTCATGATTATCTTTAATATAACTTGTTTATAGATTTATTTTATGTTGGAATTCATATCAAAATTTTAAATGTTTTTTTACTGTTACACTGTTTTGAGAAAAGAAGCAGGGACTTTTAATTTACCTTCTATTCTGAAGAGGCTGGATGGATAATAAGTTATGATAAATCAAGAAATTGGAATAAGGAAAATGAAAAAGAAAAAAAATGGATTTTAGAGATGGAAATATGACTTTGGTTTCATAGTGTGTTTGTAACATTTTGTGTGATGGATACAATTAAGTTTGTTCTTATTTCAGTTATTCAAATGTATATATCTAGGGTTTGAATGCAAAACTGCAATAACTTTTATGAAATAAAAAACGACTTATAACAGTTTTGCAGTCAACCCTCGATATTGTTGTGAATCTTAATTGATATTGGATATTAAGGTTTGTTCGAGGTGCTAGTGTAATTTTTTTTATATGAACCACTCAGAACCTGTCATTTGTAACACCAGCTTCATGAATAGCATAGGCTTTGACTTTTAGATCATTAAAATCCTTGTAAAGCCTCGGCTTTGCGCTAACAATTAAATGGTCAAATCCCCTTAAATGCCCCTGTCTTAAAGGGTTAAGGACATACTTTATAGGACATCACAGTTTTGAATTATCAGAATAGCAGGTCAACACTTAACAAATATAATGTCAAAGAATTTGTGGTAAGGATACATTCTTAACCTAGGCTATGTTTTTGAAAAAAAAAAAAGATTTTAAAGCTTACCAAAGCATGAAAAGTTCAAAGGCAAGCTATTAGGAACAGTCAGTGTCTGTCAATATTCTTTGTAAGAATATATTTGAAAGAAAAAGAATCCCGAAAGAAATTCCAAAAATGGCAAAATTGAAAATTTTGCCGACTCATTTTAATCGAGCATGTACTTGAAAGTGCAAGCAACTGTCCTCATAAATGTTTTCTTAAATGATGTCTTACAAATTAACACATTGGTCATCATTGCATGCATGTATCTCAATAGTGGAAAGCAATCTGTCTGCTTTCCAAGAGCAAAATTTCAATTTCTTTTAACTATTTTGTGTATTTTTAGAGAGATTTTGAAGTTTTAGTACAACAGAATATTTTCTGATTCCTGTGTGCACACACCTGAGAAACCACAATAATGAATGAGTCTTCACAAACTTGATCATAATGTTTCTTGAAATAAGTATATTCTAACATTGTCTTCTTAAGCTTATAAATCGATAGAGTAAAAATAGAGGGCACCAGCCGAGGTCAAATTAATAGAAAATCCTCATAAACCCACTACAGCAACAGATCTTTTAATTGAATCATTATCTAAAGAAAAATTTACTTTTCTTTCCAACATTGATTTATGCTTACATTCTGTGATAAAAGGAAGTAACAGTTTCCACGTAGGTGAGCGATAAAATGTCCAACATTGCTCTCTTGTTTTCTTGTATTTATCAAAAGTTTAAAGAATATTAAGGTTAATGAAATGGCAGTCAATTTGGAATTTTTCACTTCATAATTGGGGGCACATTTGGGACTTTGGGCGGACTAAGAATTTGGGTGGGGGTGTGCATAGTGGTTTTTAGGATTATTTAAATTGTGAGAGGTAGCTTCTACTTACACAATGTCCTGTATATTATATAGAATCCTCATCAAATCCGTACTGGGTGTTCTTCTGAATTTAGATATTGTAATTGTTTTAGGTTTTAATGTTTTAATAGTTGCTATAGAAATCATATGGTAGATTAGAGAATACCTGTTAACTAAAAGATTTAACACCAGGAAAAGCATGTTTGACGTTAAGTTTTTTTTTTCATTATTATAGATTATAGTGTTTTCAAGTTTGTTTTAGCTACGCGCGTCTAAACTGTAAGCAAAACTATAAAACTCTTGAAATATATAAACATAGCTGTCAATGTTTTTTTTTATTTTTGTGTGCTTAAAAGATATCTTATGTATATAAGCATGAGTTTTTTTATTGTGGGCTTTTTATTGGGATTAATCTTTGAAGGGCTTTCTGACTTTTTCTTTTAATTTTCTATTCAAACAATTTTTCGGGTAAACTGTCATTTAATATTCCCAGTGTTTATTCAGTTAAATTAAGTACTGTATCAAACTTTCTATTTCAATTTGTGTCGTAAAATCAATTATGGTATAGAACGTTACAAGTACTTGATATCTTTTAAGCTTGAAATGTTGGCGATTTACTGTCATTTACACATGGTTTTATTTATTGCAAAGGATTATATTGCAGAAATAATTAAAGTAATATTAATTTAAGTAGCTGCGAAAAAAAAAAAAAATTGAAACATTTGCATGTACTGCTAAGTGGACATATTTATGTATCACAGTTTGACCTGTGTAACTGTTATTTACTTTAAGATGAAACAAGATGACCTAACACTTTAATCAAGTTATTGTAATAAACAGGAAAATAGGCTGGAATATAAAAATGAAAACTTAAATATAAAATACCATACGTTATTAAAGTGATATGTTTGGAACAATGTTGGAGCGCATGCGAAGTAATCATGACTTTAAGGTAGATTTTATTATTTCTGTATTGCATTATATTTTTCCAAACTGATAATTTAAAAAAAAAAAAACATCAGTAATTAAGGTACCGGTAGAACCCACTTAATAATGCATATCCTTCACATTCAAGAACATTAAAATAGGATAGAATTACTGTCAAAGCACTTTGAAATGGAGGTGCATTGGTTAAAACCCAATCAGTAGTGTCATCTTTTTTCTTTCTCTTGTTTTCTTTTAATATTTCTTATGTATCTCTCCGATCCTTCTTAGAAAGAAAAAAATTTAATCACATATATACATGTACTAGTAATTGTTAAAGTGTTTATTGGCTAAAGAAAGTGTTTAAATACATTGATGTACACTAATAGATTATTTAAATTGAAAAATATGTATCATAGGTCCAGTGCCATTCTTTTTACTTTTGTTATATGACAGTTATGTTTTGATAATCAAACTACAGGGGGGCTCTGTTTTTACATTGCGCCCTGACTCGCACATACTAAAAACTTGCAAAAACAAAGGCCCATTGTCACAAGAATCTATTTATTCTTGGATGTTTTTTCTCTCCTTAAATGTAGGCAAGGACATCAAATATTATCATGTACATTTTTTAGCTCGACTATTCGAAGAATATGAGAGCTATTGTAGTCGCCCCGGCGTCGGCGTCAGCGTCCGCGTCGGCGTCTGCGTTGGTTAAAGTTTTTTGTAAAGTCAAATATCTCAATTATTACTTGAGATATTCAATTGAAACTTACAATAGTTATTTATAGTAACAAGGTACATCAGCTTGACAAGTTGGATAACTCTGCCTACAATATTGACAGAATTATGCCCCTTTTTAACTTAGAAATTTTGGTTAAAGTTTTTTGTAAAGTCAAATATCTCAATTATTGCTTGAGATATTCAATTTAAACTTACAATATTTATTTATAGTAACAAGGTACATCAGATTGACAAGTTGGATAACTCTGCCTACCATATTGACAGAATTATGCCCCTTTTTAACTTAGAAATTTTAGTTAAAGTTTTTTGTAAAGTCAAATATCTCAATTATTGCTTGAGATATTCAATTGAAACTAACAATACTTATATATAGTAACAAGGTACATCAGATTGACAAGTTGGATAACTCTGCCTACAATATTGACAGAATTATGCCCCTTTTTAACTTAGAAATTTTGGTTAAAGTTTTTTGTAAAGTCAAATATCTCAATTATTGCTTGAGATATTCAATTGAAACTAACAATACTTATTTATAGTAACAATGTACATCAGATTGACAAGTTGGATAACTCTGCCTACCATATTGACAGAATTATGCCCCTTTGGAACTTCGAAATTTTGGTTAAAGTTTTTTTGTAAAGTCAAATATCTCAATTATTGCTTGAGATATTCAATTGAAATTTAAAATTCTTATTTATAATAACAATGTACATCAGTTTGCAAAATTGCATAACTCTGTCTGCAATATTTGCAGAATTATTTGCCCCTTTGAAACTTAGAAATTTTGGTTAAAGGTTAAAAATCTTCAAAGATATTTACTTGAAATTTTACACATGCACTTAGGGTCATAATTGGAGGGGCATAATTGTATGTCACTGACCAAGTTCCATAGCTCTATCTTGCATTAAGGCTGATTCATATCCCCTTTTCTACTTAGTCTCTTGGTAAATGTTTACATGCAAGTTTTACATATCTCAATAACCATTAAAGATATTTATTTAAAACTTCACATATGCATTTAGGGTCATAATTGTAGGTCACTGACAAAGATCCATAATTCTATCTTGCATTTAGGCTGATTTTTCTCCCCTTTTTCAACTTAGAAATTCATGGTAAAGTTTTGCTTGTAAGCTGTTATCTCAATAACTACTGAAGGGTTTGTGCCTTTTTTGGGACAATTTTATGCATTCATAATAATAAAGCAGTGATTTACTTGATAAAACATCTTAATAACAAGCTTTTGTACCTTTTCTGTCAAATTTATGTATTCATAGGTAATTAGTATTATTATACTCAATAAAAAACCCTTGTGACATTACCTTCCAAATAGTCAAGCCGATTCTGTATAATTAGACTCTCTCTAAGACCTATAACATGAATTTATAAAAAAAAATTAACCCTTTTGTGAACTTAAAAAATTTAACATTATAAAGGCTCTTTTAATATCAAGCACTTAGAATAGTCGAGCGTGCTGTCCTACAGACAGCTCTTGTTATGAGTCTGTAATGTCAATATTCCTTTTATGGGAGGAACAGGCAGTTAAAAAATAAAGTAAATTTAAACAAGGGCAGTGTAAACTGCTTAATTTTCTTGGTTGTACCTGCTTGTAGTGTTAATTTATTTAATTTTCAATAAAATAGCTATGTAGTTATGATCAATCATTGATTTATAGCATTGCCCTTAATATATTTAAGGCCAAATAACAGAGGTACCCAATATGCTCTGTAGAAGTGGTGGTATAACTTTTATATACCACTAGTGTGTATATTTTGATATTGAAATCCCTTTACTTAAATAGTTCAAAGTCAAGGCAGTTCAAGTCGTTAACTCAAGCTTAGTTATTCAATGGTAAAAAATTAATTCCAATTCTGAGTCAAGAATAATACAAAAGGGCACTTCTTAGAGGGCAAACAATTTTATTTCTCAGTGATAACAGGTTTACAAATTTCCTAAAACAATGTGATATGATGCATAAATATATTCATTATTCTTGTGATATGTATTCTTTCAAGAATTTTGCTATCGTTTTGTGTATGGCTTAAATGTTAAAGCAATGTATGGTATTTTTGAATAGCTTTATCAACTAACCCAGTGTATGCTTTTCGAAACCTTTTAACACATAGGTCATGGTCGGCAGAGTGTTATTTCTTTTTATAATCTTTTAATGCCATTCTCCTTATTGTAATATACATGTATTTTGAAATGGTTTACTTATTATTGTAGCGGTTTTCTTTTGGGTTTTTACATGTTTTTTTTTTTTTCAAGAACTATTTAATACCTTGTTGACTCATTTCTTATTCTTTGGGTTTATGAAATATTTTTAGGGATTTCATATTTGTTTTTATATTACAATTTACTAAAATGGGGATAGCTTTTAATATTACTCAAGCTCCCAAATGGTGCTTGAAAATTTCTGATTAGTCTTAAATTTAATTTTTTTCTGAATTATTAAAATCGTACATGTATCATGCTATTTTATAAAAAAAAAAAAACCAACATAATTATGAAATGTTTTATTAATAAAAGCAAGATTTTAAATAAATAAATAAATAATTCTGTATGAAAATCATGAATGAATATTTGTTTATTACAAATTTTTATCATATACTGTGTAAGAGTGACCCATCATTGTATATTTTGATTAAATGTAAAAACATGAAACAGACATTTTCCGGAACTCAGCAAATGTTGGTTTTTCTTATCTTCTCTAGTGGAACAAACAAACTTTACAATTTACAACTTGGTAATCATATTGATAATAACCGACTGTGTTGTTATATCATTATTGTAAAATAATGGTGCGTTAAGCACCATGAAGCTAGAATGGTAAAAGCTTATTTAGACCTCGGGATTTGCAGGAAAACCATACAAATCGCTGAGTTCCGGATAGCATATATTCACAGTAAAGAACTTTTTTTGTTAAAGGTGGCCAATTATTTTATATTGAAATGGTGTAAAATATTGTAAATTTATTTATTTTGCAACACACTGAATGATTTTGTATGTTTGTTAAATACCATTTATTAAATACTAAGATTCAAAGAATATTCACAGTAATATCTCTTTGAGGGGAGATGTGGTATTAATCATGTCTTCTTATTCAAAATTTGATTGCAAAAGTAACAAATACAAAATTTAGTATATGATTTCCTTGTCTGGTCTTTAAAACAGAATAGTTATTTGAGATATCTTTGCCTGAAATGGTCATTTCATGAGATGGATTGTTTGGGTTAACTCGATAATACTTTCTGTTTCTGCAAATGTCACAACAAATGGACATAGAATAAGCTTTATGTGGCCTTTAAAATGACTTTTCTTTGTTAGAAACATATATGATTATGTACAATTGTACTTCTTTATCATAATTATAGTATTTTCTTCAAATCTTTTTAAAATGTATTTATTGCAGAGAAGATTTATAATTGGTCACCTTTGACATCTTTGCATAAGATTTCTTCATCTTTTACAGTATCATAGACATTAAAGTAATGCATGTCTTTTATGTTTATATATATATACACGCATGTGACATTTCTAGGTTATTTTCTTGGATTTTATCATCATATAAACATTGTGAGCACATATAAAACATCGAAACTTGTTTACAAGGGATGAGCGTAACTATGCATAGTCCTACAAAACACATCAAGAAAACCTCGCAGGAAGTAAGTGGGCACTGTTAGTTAGTAAATTGTGATGTTTGTGCTTAGTTTGATATTGAAGATGAGCTTCATTCATTCATTTATTTTCAGGGCTTAAGGCAATTTTGTAATGGGTTTATATAGGAACTCATATGCAAAGTGTCAACTTGTGTGCATCATATCATAAAAATCTTTTTTCAGAATTATTGTACTCTATATTGATAATAACATTGGAAATATTTCAAAATTATTTGCTCTTGCACTGTATTCTTAATCTTTTACAGAGAAGAACATTGTAACCAAATTTAGATAGTATTATATAATTTTTAACCAGACCACATAATAATCAAGTCATTAGAATTTCGCACCAAAGTAGAAATTTAAAGATACAAAATTTTGTAGAATCTTCCATATTTGTTATCGGGACTTGTGAGAACATATCCCTTACAATGGTGTATTACTTTGGCAGGATGTATCATAGTTTTATCATATATCTTACATGTCAGTGCTTCTTGTATATTTTCAGGATGAGTTGAAGACAGAGACAAGAAAAAAGAATATTTTGATCCTTGTTTTAAACTATTTAAATGAAGAAGGGTAAGAATCATTATTTCTTTTGGCCATTTTTTATAAAAAAAATTTCTATAGATGCCTTCAAAGTCTAATAAAAAATCAGCAAGATGAAAAAAGCCAGCAATACATGTAATGTGACAGGCAAATGGGAGTGGGTGGGGAGCAGTTTATCAATGTTTTGCAAAAGTAACCAGCAGTAAATTTTACAGTTGCCAGCAATGTAGCTATTTTCGAGAACTATTACATACTGTTAGTTTCTTATTTTCAAAATGTTAAGCTTCCATGACAAATGTTGCAACCATTTGGGGTTAATTAATCAATTCACAGTTATTATATAATTGACAAAGTAAGAAAATCAAAAAAAGTTAACACCTGATTTGGGTAAAATGTCAAATTCTTTCACATAATTATTTGAAGAAAAATACTGTCACAGCACCAGTATCAGAAATGTTTTAATCACCTTAGATAAGGATACTATTTTTAGAATGATCCTGAAAATGGCAACAATGAGAGGTAATGCATGTTAAGTGACAAGTATCTAATGATTTAATCTTGATGAAAAGAAAAAAATCTCATAAGTAATCTTCATATATTTCAGTTATTTGGATTCAGGCCAGGCGTTGGCAAGGGAGACAAATATTGATGTCTCAAAGTTTGAGGTCTGCGATAACATAGACTTGGATACCATAGTGATGGAATATGAATCATATTATTATGTCAAGTTCGCAAAATACCCCAAAATTTGCAAAAAACTTACACAGAGTGGTAAGTGCCCTTGTTTTGCAATTTTATGATTAGAAAGAAAACTGAATTTCAATCATTGCCTTTGTTTTGACATTTCCCAGAATGATTTTCATTTTCTGTTTTCTGTCATGTCTTGTGTTTTGTATTTACAAGTTGTCAGGAGCTGTCTTTTTAAAATTATTAAGATTTGCAGTTTATTATGCTGAATGGAAATTACGTTTTAACTCTTAAAGCTTCCTGCCTCCAGATGAGCCAAAATATTTCAAGAAAGTCAAACTTAAAAAAATTGTATTAAGATTTTTAAAAAGTAAAAGATTCAAGTAATTATTTACATGCTTTATGCAATTGTTGACTGATTTTGCAGTATTTATAACCATATTTCTTCTGCGTTAGTAACACAGTAAGGCCTATATTTTGCATATTTTGACCTCTTTTTGGTAATTTATGTGGGTTGCAAGTGCCATTGATAATGTGTAAATTGCTTCCTTTTGGTTACTTTACAATATTATACTTTAAAAACATTTTCAAAATTTTCATGAAAATAAGCATGAATCTGGAGGCATACTGCTTAAAAGAGTTATATTGGTTAAAAAGAAAACATTGATAGAATGAAACATTGTTTCAATTATTAGCTCGTCAAAGAGGTGAGGTTGAATACACAAGATTGGTTATTTAAAATGACATTTAGCACAATAAATGTTTACAGCTATTAGTGTCACAACAATATATTGGTATAAGGGTGTCACTGAATAGCGGAAATATTATGAAAAATAATTTTTTTATTGTAATTTCGAAAACATTTTCGGCACATTTAAATATATTTTTCTGTAAGATTTAGCTAGACTATTCGAAAAAAAATATTGGGACTCTGGCATAGGCATCAATGTAACACTATGATTAAAGTTTTGCTCAATCAAAGACCCATAACTCTAGCATGAATTTTAAATAAAATATGTCCCTATGTGGACATACAATATTCATGGGACACTAAAAATTTCCAAGACTCACACTTCCTATATAATATCCAAGCTCTTGTTGTACTATCAAGCACTGAGAATTGATTCTGCACTAGAATAGCTGACTAGTTAATTTATGACCTTTCATATGTTGGAGTGACTTTAACCCTTAACCTGCTGGAAATGAAAGTGATTAGCCTTTGCCACCAGTATAGCACCAGGCCGGTCTGCACTACCGTGCAGTCCGACCAGGCTCTATACTGTTTGTAACTCAATTTTTATATTTTAATATTGAAATCCCATAAATTATGGAAAAAAAAACTGTTTGAAATTCAAAGCGACACAAATTAAAATTCCATAGGTTAAGGGTTCAAATCCAACCAAAAATAAAATTTATTAGAACATGTTCTTTATTGTAGTAAATCCCTATGATGGTATGAATTTGGCCATTTATAGTTTGACTTGTGTTCTTGTTGCTATAACAACCATATTTTGTGAAAAATTGTTGATTTTGTGGTAGTTAATTAGAGGTTAACCGTTATAAGATTGTTTTGTGACTTTCATTGTAATAATACCAGAGTAAATTGTTTTTAATTATGTTCATTTAGTGTGTGGGATTGTCCTGTCTCACAGTAATACAATATGAATAGAATACATAATTGATAAATAAATGGGGTAATCTGTAAATGAACACAATATTAGTAGATCCTGATTTTGATTTGGTTCTTGTTTTAAATTTGGAAACAACTTTCAGATTTCAGGAATTTTATCATAACTGGGTTATATACGAGACAAATTGACCATGAACTATAATGCTGATAAGTTTTAATCAGATTAGAATGATCTTAATCCTATACAAAAACATTAAGTATGAAAGTCTGCTGTGTAGTATTGATAATGGGGTAAACAAGTAGGTCATGTTCTTTGATATGGTAAAAAATAACTAATTTATTTCTTTGTGGGACTATTCTACCCTGGTGATAGCGTCCGCATCACCCTTTGGTTAAGTTTTTGCATGCAAGTTGGTATCTCCAAAACTACTGAAGGGAATGGGTTGAAAACTCCACACTGTTATTTGCGAGCATAATATAAGGCAAATAACTCTTAACATGGAAATTGCCCTTTTTGAACTTTGACAATTTTTACATTATCCAGGCTCTTGTTTTACTATATATTTGTGCCATTTTTGTGCTGTCAATCTAATTAGAATATATAGATGGAATTTTTGTTATTGAATGTGTATGTGTTTAAAGTTGTTTAAATTTCAGATGAAGGATGCTTATCAAAAATATATGCCTTTACGATATTTGTCATTTTCATTCTTTCTGTTTGCTTTTTTTAGTTGTTTTTTATACAGAGTTTTATGTTTATCATAATAACAGATGATGAATATATAATTTAAAAGGACCATTTTAAGGCACATGTCTCAAAACCCCTTTTTTTAGAATTCTACTCATTCAATAAATTTATACCAACTGCCATCAGAGCAAAAGAAGCAAAAAAAAAGTTAATCTATATTTAAATTTTTGGAAACAGTAACATGCAAGATACCAAAAAGAAAAAGTTTTTGAGGAATAAAATAATAGCATTTTTTAGGCATAATGGGCCTTTAACGTTCTTTCTTTCGAAAATTTTCTCAGATAAGCATTATATCTTTGGAATTTATAATAAACTTAAAAAGTTAATGCTGAAGATTTACCTTTTTCTTGCAATCGGAAGAAAATTTTGATAAGTGTCCTACATTTGTGTTAGCAGCTAGCTGGCTAGATAGATAGAGAGATAGATTTGGAGAAGGTTATTAAGATGATTTTGTTTGTTTTGCTTTAATAGGACATCCAACAGGTATGGGGTTGTTGGTTTGCTGTGATGTTTTTATTGACCGCATTATTATTACCTGTTAAAATTTTTTATATCATCTTCTTACCATTTCCTACCATTCATATTACAGTAAAACTTTGACAATTTTTTTTATACTGCTTGATTTGTTTAAATGCCATGCTTTGAATTTATAATTGTGTATTTTCATTTTTTAAACTGGTGGATTTTTTTTTTAAATAATGAAAAACTCAGCAGTTAGCAGGATGGACTTTAGTGACAAACCCAACAGACAAGCTGGTTGACCTGCCTCTATACTTTTATCATAAAAGATAATATTTCTAAAAGATACTGAAATAGAAAACCAGCGTGACCTTACTCCCAATTTTGTAGATACTTTAAATTTTGTTTAAGTAATAAAAAAAGAAGGCTCATTGTTAATAGTTTATCAAAGTTTGGTTGTCTTCATCGGAAACCTGTCCGCCATTTGTTATGTTTTAACCTTAACCCTATGCACTTCTCTGGTTTGAATGACTACGCTCTAAGGAATGCAAAGGAATTCAGTATTAAAATGTTAAATCTATAAGACAATAGTACTTTGACTGTATAGTGTCTGGTAAATCTGCATGGTCAATTGGGCTTGCCTAGCTGGTTCTAAAATGGTGGCATTATGTAGTAAGTCTGAAATGATAGAACTCTTACACTAAACTTCATATCTTAAACAGATAGTTTGCAGTATTTGCATGTAAACTATCAAGAAAATGGTACAAGATATTATAGATCTATTTTAGATTATTTATAAAACTTTCTACTGATATCAAAGTTTTACTGTAATTTATCTTCCGTTGCTCTTGTTTATTGAAATTCACATGTCGCCAAATACAACAAAATTAGTTTTCAATATTGCAAAGTAAAGAAATTGTTGTTATGAAATAAAAACTGGATATGGACACAATTATATATTAATTATATATTGATTGATTTAAGTATTTAAATAGGAAAAAAAGCTGTGTTCCTTCGTTTCTTGAAGGTGAATTTTAGCAAATGTTTGAACAAAAAAAACCCAACATAATTTGGAAAAATTAAATTGATTAACTTTTCCTTATGCCATTTAGTACTGTGAAATCTTAATCTTTTATTTTACTGTTCTTTTATCCACCTTCCCCCATAGTTTTTTAACTGTCTTTCCATTTTTTCAGGGCCATTTCTTTGTTATTAATGCATGGATTTTGAAATAATTTTGCATCAATGTGAAGCACATTAACATGATGTGTCTCATGCAAGGCCAAGGTTTTTAGGTCAAAGGTCACGGTCACACTAGAAGTTGTAAGGAAATTTTCATGAAAATGCATTGATGGGCAGTTTTGTCAGGTTATCAAAATCTGTTATTATTGGATTGATTCTCCTTTAAATGGAATCTTAAAAATTGCTTTGCATGAATGTGTTAGACATGATGATGACATGTCACATACATTAATTAGGTCTCCAGCAAAAAGGTCAAGGTCACATGTGTAGGTACTTATTTATGATATGATAGCTTTGGAGGCATTCTTAATTTGATAAACATGTCTGAAATGGACTTGCCAGTGTGGTAGTCCATAAATAGACTGAGGAATTTCAGTATTCAGTCTTTTAATAATTGCCATCAGGGCTTAGAAAGTTAATATAGACATTTATGGAGACAATTTTAACCCTTGAAATGCTGAATTTTTTCTTGAATTGACTTTCATCTGTTTAACTGCCTTTGATCAATATTTGGAGATATCACATTGAAAATCTGATTTTGGTCAACAGAGTATACAGCCAGGTCAGATTGCATGGGTATGGAGGCTGGCCTGACAGTATATATATACTGTGGTGACCTAGGAAAACCCCTTAAGTTACAGCAGGGTTATGTGTTAATCAACACTGATAGACTTTATTTATTCACATTTTATATTTACATTATATCGAAATTGTAACTTTCAGAAAAATTGAATGGATTTCACAGTATTCTTTTCTCTCTTTTCTTCATTGTTCCATTTTAATACTAAACAAAAACATTCTTTTTTTCCCAAAAATAACAGCTTGCAGTGAGTTTCCCCTTCCCCAAACCATTCTGTACAAGTCTTATAATAATGTTACAATTATTATTTTGTATTATATAAAAAATCAACAATTGTTTTTCTTAGTCTAAGATGCTATACCAGTATAAATATAATGATTGTTATTTGCTAGAAATGTTGCAGCTATGATTCAAGGTCATTTACCCTGCTGCTAATTCACTAAATCAGTATGGCCTCAAAAAAGGTGCACTAGTTGTTTTGTTACCTTGACTCACCAGCCACCCGCCCCACTTTCCAACCCATGGCAAATGGTGAAGACTGTGCTTCTAGGGACAGTCTATCTCTGATGACAATCAGTCAATCACTTAATTCTCCTAGCTTTTGCTGTCTGAAGTACAAAATCACAACATTTACCAAGCAGGGCATTGACAGCTATATAATCCCCTTGCTTTCCCCAGTACTAAATGTTTACCCCATAATTTGTGAGGGTGGGGTTGGGGCATTGGATGCAAATGACTGGTGCATTATATAATTTATATTTCTCTACATAATTATAACTGTGACAATGTATTTAGGACCTTTCATTACAGTCATGTTATTGTTTTGTTAAATTCACAGACATTTGTTAGTGTCATCAGAATCATGTATTTAATGTTTATATTTACAAAGACTGCAAAGTCAATGTGACTTTTTTTTTTATTGGTAACAATTTAAATACGAAGTTCAGTAAAAAAAATACTTTCATATTCAAACTTACTTGAAAGTTTTTTCAGATTAGTGAATAAAGATTTATCATACTTCATTCACATATTGAAAAATGAAATTCCTTGTTGATATTTCAGGAGATAGACGGACAAAAATGAACAGAGCAAATAGGTAAATTCTGTTTTTATATTATTTGAGTCTGTATTACAAGACATTTACTTATATAATTATAGATGTATTATCTTTATAATTTACTTAAACAAAGGTTGCCTTTAAGTAATAGGGAATATATGAAATTTATTGAAAGGTTACTGTGGTGATGCCACTAAACTTTTCCAACCTTGTTTTTATAATTATAATGGTGGTGCGATTTTTTTTCTTGGTTGAAATTGTAGGAACTTAAAATACATTATAAATATATATCTCTCTCTTACTTTGTCCCAACCCAAAGTCATTTAAATAGTTATTTTTTTAGTTATAAATATTTATTTGTGTGAAAATTATAAAGACATTAAATAACAGTAGTGTATCATAATGACAATATATCAAATAATTAGGTACATGCAAGGCAAGACAATTTTATTATTCCAATCCTTAGGCTAAAAAGACCATTAAAGATATTGATAGAAAGAAAGAAAAAAACAAACAAAAAAAAAAAATAAACAAAAAATAATGTTTGATCATTGAACAGAACTAATTGATTTCACTTTTAATATCTCAATTACAATTTCTGAAATTTGATAGTTTTGTTTTTTGAGGTTTTTTTAGTATCATGTGTATTGCCTAAGTACCATTAACCATATATGGTAATTAATACATTTGCAATAATACTGTGTTAATACAAGACATTTGATATCTATCTAAAAGGAAATGGAATATTAATAACATAATTTAAATTTTCAACTTAAACAAAAATATACTTTAAAGTTTCAAATTTTTTAATTTAGTGCAGTAACTTCATACACTGAGTAGGTGTGCTCAATATTCCAACTTAAAGGTCAGTGTGACCTTAAAAAGTATCGAATCAGTTATTTTGTCTTTTTGGAGTTGAATTTTATATATTTGTTGAGAATATTTTCAGACTATAATTGTTCCATTAAAACAAAAATCAATAGGTTTATTGTTTAATGGATATTAATGTACGGTATTTATGAAATGTCTTAGGAGAGAGCAATGTGAAGGTCAGAAAATAAAACATTCAAAGGCTCAGTTAAACTAGTCTAATGCTGTTCCCTTTCTTTTTCCCTTTTTTGTGTCGCCTCTACGGAGTAGTGGCGACATATAGGGATCACTTCTCCGTCGTCTGTCTGTCCGTCTGTCTGTCTGTCCGTCTGTCCGTCCGTCCGTCCGTCACAAAACTTGTCCGGACTACTCCTCATAAACTACTGGTGCAATTTCATCCAAACTTTACAGGAATGATCAGTACCAAGTCTAGTTGTGCATATTGTCAGGATTTTCCGGTTCAATGATTTTTGTCAGAGTTATGGCCCTTTAATAATTTTTAATTTTAAAGTTTGTCCGGACTACTTCTCTTATACCACTAATGCAATTTCAATGAAACTTTACAGGATTGATCTGTAGCTCAAGTCCTTGCGCATATTGCACGGGTTTTCCGGTTGAATGATTTTTGGCCGAGTTATGGCCCTTTGATAAAAAAGGTTTCTTTTTCTGTGTGTTGCCAGATACACAAAAGCTTGTCCGGACTACTCCTCATAAACTACTGGTGCAATTTCATCCAAACTTTACACGAATGATCAGTACCAAGTCTAGTTGTGCATATTGTCAGCATTTTCCGGTTCAATGATTTTTGTTTGAGTTATGGCCCTTTAAAAATTTTTATTTTTAAAGTTTGTCCAGACTACTTCTCTTATACCACTTATGCAATTTCAATGAAACTTTACAGAATTGATGTGTAGCTCAAGTCCTTGCGCATATTGCACGGGTTTTCCGGTTGAATGATTTTTGGCCGAGTTATGGCCCTTTGATAAAAAGGTGTTTTTTTCTGTGTGTTGCCAGATACGCAAAAGCTTGTCCGGACTACTCCTCATAAACTACTGGTGCAATTTTATCCAAACTTTACAGGAATGATCAGTACAAAGTTGTTAGTCTAGTTGTGCACTGTCCGTCTGTCTGTCCGTCTGTTACAAAATTTGTCCCAACATGAAATTGGCCATCATGAGGCGACACATGTGATTACTGATCGCTCTTGTGTTTGAGTTATGGCCCTTTAAAAATTTTTATTTTTAAAGTTTGTCCAGACTACTTCTCTTATACCACTTATGCAATTTCAATGAAACTTTACAGGATTGATCTGTAGCTCAAGTCCTTGCGCATATTGCACGGGTTTTCCGGTTGAATGATTTTTGGCTGAGTTATGGCCCTTTGATAAAAAGGTGTTTTTTTCTGTGTGTTGCCAGATACGCAAAAGCTTGTCCGGACTACTCCTCATAAACTACTGGTGCAATTTTATCCAAACTTTACAGGAATGATCAGTACAAAGTTGTTAGTCTAGTTGTGCACTGTCCGTCTGTCTGTCCGTCTATTACAAAATTTGTCCCAACATGAAATTGGCCATCATGAGGCGACACATGTGATTACTGATCGCTCTTGTTTAAAGGCCCAAACTGCAATTCATTTGCTTAATAATGATAAATGCTGACTAAGTAGTAAATGATGATATAACTTAAGGTGTTGTTTATGATTACATGATAAGGTGTATTTTATGATAATTATGATCATGAATATGGTTGTTTATGATGAGGTGTTGTTTATGATGAGGTGTTGTTTATGATGAGGTGTTGTTTATGATGATTTATAATGATTTATGATTTGTAGCATGAGACATTCGGCGTCAAGCAGCGCTATACTGTTACACAGGTTAGCCACGTCGTGTCACGTATGTCGTGACTTCTGCTTGTTGTCAAATAGGGCTAGGGGTGCACATCAATATTTATTTATGTTTTTTTACTGACCTGCTTGAAGCTAATTTGGATGAAGTTAATTCTTTTGCTTATGAATTCAAAACTCAGTGATTAAATACATTGTCCATTCTATTAATAATATGCTAAATTCATATGATTCACTAACGACAGTCTTAGAAATTCGAATTCTCCAATGTACAATTATGTTTTCAATGTAACTAAGGAAAATGTTGTATATAAAGTTTGTTAGCATGCACAGAATGATGGTCATCTGGCTCAGATAGACAACACATTATTGCTGCTGCCAATCTATGAAAATTGATAAAAGTCTTCTTAGTTTACTTTTTGTCAATAAGGCTGTCTTTCTTAAGTTTTTGTTCAATTTTATGGTAAAAAAACAACACCAATGATAACCTAAAACTTAAGATATGTGGTAACAGTCATTGACTTCAAACCACTTGTCCCTCATCGCTGTGGGTTCAAATCTGGCTAGGGAGTTTGAATTCTTTCTTGGGAAGTTATTCAGCTTGCTTAGGGAACATTGATGGTTCTACTGTGCATGAAATAATGTATGAAGGTCACTAATAAAGCTGGAAAGATGCCATTATTACCTGTACAGTGTTGGTGCTTCATAAAACCCTACCAAAACAAAAACCCCAAAGAAGACTTTATAAACTAAATATTAATATAACTTAATCTTTGAGTCATTATAATATTGTTCAAACGACTAATGCCATAAATATCATCAAATAATTTTGTTTTTAATTGCCATCTATGCTTAACTTTGAAATAACATGGTTATATTGGGGCCTATGACCTAATTGATAATTTATTAATATCACATTATATTACTAATATTTATTTGACCATTTTAATAAAAAATCTGTAAAGACTCAACATTTCTAGATTTGATTTGACAAAGTGTTTGACTGAAAGCTGTTATGATTAAGTAATTTCTGATGTCAAATTGAAATTGTCAATCATTTAGTGGTAATATTTTTCATTTAATCATATAAATTGATGTTTGAAAAAAATTCATATCATGTTAGTAGATTGGTAGATATCTCTGGTAAAAACAAAACTACAAAATGCAGAAGAAAACTAGGTCACTAGGTCAAATTTAAGTTGAAGAAAATTATTGTTCCCAAACTCTGCTCGAAGACATTGATAATTAGATACATAGTCTGAATCTTTTCATTGATAAAATAAAGGTCAAGGTACAAGTTTGAAGGTCAAGTAACTCAAATAAGAAAGGCTAATGTATTGTTTTCTCTCGAGGCCACAAATTATCAAAATCGTCATTGAACTGTATAAAAACCCATCATTTAAAAATGAAATACAATTTGAAGTGAAGGAAGCTAAACATCATTAAAGAAAATTTCTAATTTTAGATCTTATTAAGGTTTTGTGTCGTCTGACTAGAAAATTTGATCCTGGGGCAGAAACTTTTTGTGATATGGGGCAGATCAGCTTTCTAAAATCACCAAATTTTTTTGGGTAAAGTTTTTTTGAGTGATTAACAAGTTTAAAAATTTTCTAACCAGATTTAAAAATAATTTTAACAACTTGAAAGAGCAAAGGGGCAAATCTTTTTTGGGGTAAACAGAATTTTTTTTTAAAATGAAATTGTTTGCTTTTTTTAAAAACATTTTTTTGGTGTTTCAAATCTCATGTGCCTATTCGGACACAGTAGTCGCCCTTTTGCCCCATTACATATGGAAAGTTATTCGGTAATTTTGCTAATTAAAACCCTTCTCAGTTACCAGCACGTCATAAACACTTTTATCACCCTTTTCAAAAAAAAAAAGTTTTTTTTGTATTTACCTTTCTTTTTTCAAGATCATCTTTTTATTAAGTTATTGCACTTTTTTTTTCTTTCAAAAATTTTTGCAAGATAAGAAAAAAAAAGGTAACATTGTTAAAATTTTTTAGTTTTTTTTTTAAATTTTTAATTACGAAATGTCTGTTCACTCGATTTATTGTTTGATATTTCACACAGCCATTGTTGTTTTAAACCTTGTACAAATTCCATTGTTTTTTAAAGAATTGTTCAAATACATTTAAATTTTTTTGAGAGCGTTTCAAATGCACTGCATTTTTTGAAAATGTTTCGTTTCATTATATTTTTTAGAAGGATCCAATACACTTTATTTTGGGAAAGGAAATACATTAATTCTTTGAGAAGTTCAAATCACTTACATTCTTTGAGAGTTTGTTCAAATACACTTATAATACATTATTTGAGAATGTGTTCCAATACATTTAATTTTTTTGAGATTCGTTGTGTTCAAATACACTTGCATTAATATTGAGAATGAGTTCAAATACACTTCCATTCTTTGTGTTCAAATTAAACCAGATATGTGTTCAAATAATCTTGTAAGTTTCATAAAGCATGATAGAGGCATATCATATTTCCAATTTCACAGTGTTGTTACAACTGTATCAGAAATTTTTTAGAAGAACATCTTTACAACTAAAAAGAGATGTTGATTTATTTTTTATTCCATTTTTTCCCCATGAAATAAGGATATAAGTGTATATCATTAGCATTTTCGAAGTAAAAGTGAAAAAATTAAAATAAAAAATTGATGACATTAGTTAGAAATGTTGCTAGGAAGATTATTGATGTCATGTAGCAGTTTTGTATTTTAGATAATGAATTTTTTTTTTATACAAGAATTTTAAAAACAGGAATGATTTTGGCACAAAGCTCATTTTGATTTTTTTTTCATAATAATAGGAAAGATATATCCCATGAAAGGTAATCAAAGTGGTAGAATGTCCCCCTGATTTTAAAAATTTTAAAATTTGATTTGACTTTTACCTAAATATATAAGTAAAAGAAAATGTTTTGTAACTAGTTTTTCCAAAATAGTAGGGATTCATCCTTTTTAACGCTTAAAACTCTTTGTTCTTTTTTCAGACATTTTTAAATTTTATTTTTGAGTTTTAAATAACTTTTTTTTACTTTTTAAAAAGCATAAGATCTAGTGTACATGAGAATTTTTCATGCATGAATTAAAGGGGCCAAACTCATTTTGCATTTTGTTGAAATAATAACACATATATCATGGGATATCAAGAAGTCTGATTGACCAAAGATTCATTGACTCATAACATTCTGATTTTTGGGGAGGCTATGCCGACCCAATGTTAATAACCGTCTGTCAAATCTTACTGCCGCGGTAATCAGGTCAAAAAATAGTACCTTGATTTTTTCTAAGCTGACTCATCACTCATCACAGACATTTACAATATGAAAATATTTTCATTCTTTAATTTCATATCTGCAATTTGTAAAGATAATAATTCTCTGAAAAATTCTTGATTTTTGTTTAAATCACTACTCAGTGACGTCATACTGCCGCGGTAATCAGGTCAAAAAATAGTACCTTGATTTTTTCTAAGCTGACTCATCACTCATCACAGACATTTACAATATGAAAATATTTTCATTCTTTAATTTCATATCTGCAATTTGTAAAGATAATAATTCTCTGAAAAATTCTTGATTTTTGTTTAAATCACTACTCCGTGACGTCATACTGCCGCGGTAATCAGGTTTAGGTAATAAATAGTTCTGGTATGAAAACCCTTCAAAATAATAACTTTATCAATATTTTTTTAACAAAAATCATAAATGAAAATTTATAAGTAAATGCTTTAATTCAGTGGCAAATATTCTTTATTATTTTTGATAACAATTTTCCAATTACTACGCAGCGACCAACTGTTTATGACGGGTCATTAACTAGAACGTTGCAACACCGTATTCTCAATATCATGCATGTTCTTTTGTTGTTATAAACTATTAATAGTCCTTAATATTTTTTAAAGACAAATAATGTAAACTGTCGCTTACATCAGAGACATGGATCATGCTTGCGTGATAACTAAGGAAATCTAACTTATTTGTACACCCCAGGAGGCTGTACGCGGAAAACGCTCATAAACCGCTAAATCATATAGCTGTTTAGTAAATATTTTGCATACATTTAACTAAAAATTCACTGATGGTGATGAACATATAGTTTGAAAACATTTTATTCTTTAACCATTATCGCCGAAAAAAAAAACTATTTAACTTCAAAACCCCTAAGGACCTCCGACAAAATTCCAGCACAATATTACATTTTACATTAGCAAAATAAAAAAAGCAATACTTATATTTTCATCTTACATAATTCATTAATCAAACTTTTAACATAAAAGTATCTTTGGCAATTGACAGATCCCTACTTTGATCTTTTATTTGTATAGGAATAAATTTAAACATGTGCTCTTTTGTTTAGGAATATTTTGAAGTGAAAGTCTTATATATTCACTAATCTCATAATTAGAATTAGACAGGTCAGGAATTTATACAAACAGTTGTTTAGTTAACTATGCTCATTTTAATCCCAATAGAAACATTCAAATATTTGTGGTAAAAAACATGACCAAAGTACCTAGTAGTCGTTTACCCGGTGGTGATCCCATTAAACTGATTATAGATTCGAATTGATTAGAAAACACAAATAGAAACATGTGTTTCCGTACAACAAAATCGGAAGTAAAGTGAACAGTTAATTGACAGAAATATGTGGTCAAATATGTTTTAACAAGGAAATAATTATTTCAGAGAAAGACGCAAAGATCAGTATGACCCCGTATTGTGTAATTAGAAAGTTTATTCAATTCTAGGGCATACATCATAATTTGATAGTCCATGTGTAATAAAATTCAAATTTTCAATACAGATTATGAGATACATAAAAAATATTAAAGAATAAGAAGCTTTAATTAAAAAACAAAAACAAAAAAACCAAAACAAAAAAAACCGCATACATATACAAATTACTTACAGTCGAGCATCGGGAAGTCATTAACATATCTTACGAAACTTTAATTTTGAAACCGATATTTGCGCGCGCTGAAGTGATTAATGTTTATTTGAAAAATAAAAAAAAAGGAACTTTTATGGTTGTGTTCTAAAAATAATGGGCGGCATAAGAGGAATTTCTTATTCATTTTACAACACTTGAAAAATTACTACAGAAAAATGTGTTGTTGTTTTGTTTTCAACAAAAGTGTGTGTGTTTTAAGTTTATTTATACTCGGCGCCGGAATAACCATATGTCCGAGATTATAGCATCTGGGACGTCTTTTTCAAGCAGATTCTTCCTGGAAGCCCATTCTTCGTTCTTTGGTGGTAAAGGAGACGACAATACCGTCAAGGCATCAACTTTCTGACTGACGACAACAAAAACGGCATCTATTAGCGCCAAACCTCCAGAGTAAGTCACGACAGGTCAACCAATCACCTCTGGTACTTATGATGACTTGACTATGACCTTCCGTGTGCCTTCTCCGCGACGTGCACGCCTCTGGAGGTATTTGGAGAAGTTTCAACAAAAACTTCCAAAACACGC